AAAAGAAACCATATATTCGTGTGAGAACATGGAACTAATATGACCGGTACAATGCATTAAAAGCAGTCTGTGCTGTTGGAATGCGTATAGCCTCAGATGATCTAAACTGCCAGTATTATTATCGTAAAGTAGCCCGTGAAAAAAGATTGCCTCTTTCAAGCTGGACACTATTAAGTAATTATTCATACATACTGTTAGAAAATACTTATCTCTTTCAAGTATCTGTGAACAATTACAATCCATTAAGCGATGCTGAGTATAATAATCCATTATTTTCCTCGGCACTTTCACAGGATCGCACCCTTGTTCTCACGTGGGATATCAAAACATATAGCTCACGAAAAACAGGTGAAGTGCCTAATGCAAAATTGAAGAAGACGTTGTGTTCATGATTGGTATGACTGTCCATTGGAAAGATGATCCTGAACTGTTAAAGCAAATCTGTCTTGTTGATGTTAAAATAGCGCCAGACCCGCAATTGATCACAATTGTATGTGAAAATTAAACTAATATACTGAAAGTATTTGCATTATGTTGGAGACATTTGGCTTTGGATATACATATAGGCTTTAATGATTCTCAATATGATTGGCGATTTATTGTGAAGAAAGCTAATAAATTAGGGGTTCTTGAATAAATGTTCAATTATATATCATTCAAGCCATCAAGCCTGGAAAAAATTATAAAATGGGAATATTGATATAATATGACAAAAGTAAATGATGGAAAATTCCATTCCAAACATCTTAAAATTCCCGGCTGTGTGGCTATCGATGTCTGGCCCTATTTTATAGGATTTTATCCCAAAGCTGAAAAGAGTAGTAGCCTAGCATATTACTTAAAGAAGTGTAAACTTGACAACAAAGTAGATTTGCCTATTCACTACATGAACAAATATTATGAAAGGGCATTAAAAGAAACAAATGCACAACGGTCAAGCAAATGTGTGAAATAGCCAAATATTGTATCATTGACTCCCTTAGTTGCCAGCGGTTAATGGTAAAATATAATGCAATTAATGAGTATAGAGAGGTAGCATCCGTAGCCTTCTTATCATTATTTGATGCACATTATTTTGTGGGAGGCATGAAGGTTTGCAATCTTTTAAGTGCTAGTGCATGGCAAAGGGGGTCCTAACCAGTATGATTTCAAGCCAACAAACAGAAACTGGAAAATACCCTACAGTCTATGTTTTCCCACTAGTAAAGGGTCTCGAAAATAGATGTCCTGTAACTGGCTTAGATTTCGCATCGTTATATCTGAGTCTTATCATAATATACAACCTCTTACCTGACAAAATCATTTTATCTCAAGAGCATGCCGTATCTGTAGAATAAAGTAACAAAAAGCTTTATAAAATAGAGTTTCTATTTAATAATAACTCCAACGTGTCTGGTCAGTTCAGCATAATAATATTCCTGAAGAAAAGGGACTCTATACTAGCGTATTAGAATATTTATCAGGTAAACAAAATGAGATGAAGAAGTGTCTTGCCCCTTTGAAAGAGAAAAAAGAAGACATGGACTTGGTAATAAGTTCAATGGGTAGAGGTTTGTCATTATTAGAAGCCATCGAGCAGATCTTAGCGAGTGCAGAAATAGAAAAACGTAGCAGTCTTACTAATAATTTATATCATTTTATTCATAAAGAAAAGCATGAATTCATAGCAGAATATGATTTTATTTGTTTTGACTATTCTTGTTTGGATAAAAAACAATATGCTTTCAAGGTATATATGAATACATTCTATGGTATGGCTGGAGATAGTAAATCCCCTTTCTTCTTGCGTGAACTTGCTGGAGGTGTTACATCAGCTAGGCAGAGAAATATCAAACTGGTTGCTGATTTCGTCGAGAGAAAGGGATTCGGGATAAAATATGGGATACAGATTTCTTGTATCTAGTCTGTCTAGAAGAATGCTTCCAGAAGTGTAATGAGGCTTATGGTAGTAGTAATGGAATCTCAAAAGAAGAATATTGATCTCGAATGGTGAAGATCTCTAAGGTGGAAATGGAAAAACTTTGTGATGAAGTTAATGTCTTTCTCAAAGAAGATAACAGATCCCCTTATCTCAAAATGGCATATGAGGAAGTTTTATTTCTGGTAGTATTTACTGGAAAGAAAAAATACTACGACATTCCACATGAAAGCAAACCGAACTTTAATAAAGAGCTTTTCATTTGAGGGGTTGAGATTGTAAAGCGAGAGCAGTCTAAACACTTTCGTGAGGTGGGTAAGAAGGTCATAGAAGAATTTATGAGGTTGGATAATACACGTACCCTACGTCAGATTGTGAAGGACGTGCTCAAAGAGACTATAAATGATATTTCACAGATAAATCTTAATAAAGTGATTAAAACTGCTGTATGGAAGCCCGATAAAAATAACAAAAGTGTATAGCGCTTCATTTTACGAATGCGAGATAGACACATCCGTGAAGAAGCAGACGCTAAACAGCACATAAAAAAGGGCCTAATACCTGAGTCTTATCTTTATGAAGTCCCAGAACCAGGTGAGCAATTTGAATATGTTGTAGTTGAGAATGATTCATCAGAAAGGGTGGGTGACAAAATGGAATACCCAGAAGTGGTAAGACGTCTTGGTAAGAAGATTGATGCTAATTATTATCTGAAAACCATTATTGGCCTCTGTGCGTGATTTATAAACTATGATGATAGATACCAGCCATCATCCGAAATTGTACTGGAGGCTTTAAAAAGGTTAAAAGATGGTAATAAAGTGAGTAATAATAAAGTGGATGATAGTGGAATGAGTGAAGATAACGTGGACGAAGAAGATGAAGATGAAATGGATGAAGATGAGGTATCAAAAATAAGAGATGCCTTAGCACAGAAATCAGCTGAGAAGTGGATTAGGGGTATATCAAAGCCTACGTGATGGTCTGAAAAAAGATAAAACCATCATATCTCATTTATGGAAAGGGACATGCATTTACGCGAAAAAAATATTTAATACTATTTATGCCGACAAGGGAGAAAACCTGACTAAGAATGCTTATTACCAATCATTCTTCAATGCGCTGGATAAGCAAGAAGAATCTATCTGCTTAAAACTTTCATCATTGCTTAAAGAAATTTCTGAGGTTGATATAGAGTATAGAGATAGTATGTATAAATTAGTTACTAAGAAGCAAGCAATGTTCTTAAAACAATATTTTTATCGTATTATTTGGATGAGTGTAAGCTACTAGCAGGTTTCTGAAATACATGGTACAAAGTGGTTGGTCTAGAAATCACAAGCTATCGAACATTATCGAAGTTACAGGATGATAAAAAAGATGATTCGTCTGAAGCGGATATAGATGATATCATTGAACTATATTGCTAAGTATTCTTAATGGGATGTGACAATTTTAGCTAAGAAACTTATAATATTATTTATATATTTTTTCTCGTGCAATAATACTGGCTAACTTCAATTTCTATCTTCGAACTTCTGATCTCCGATCATATAACCTGATCTTGGATATGCCCAGAGAGGATAAAAATAGTTCCAGTTAAGAAAATAGTCAGTATTACTTTTTTTCGATGAATTTCAGTATTTCCTGACCACAAACCATATAACCGCAATCAGTAAAAAAGCAAGTATGGAATATAATACCATCAGCGACATTAGAGAGTTAATAACGACAGGAACAGTTACTGATGCTAGAGGCATTTCTTGAGACAATGGTACTACTTCTGCGCCACCTGAATGCTTCGCAATCCCTTTTCTCAAAATAAAATTTTTGGAATGTGCTGGTAGACTATAAACAGATTGATTAGGTAGGGTAACTTCCTGGTTTTTCGAAACTATCACATCCCGGGGTAATAGCTCTTGCAAAGTCTCTAATATGTGTTCTCTGGTAAATCTTTTATCAAATTCCATAACTTTATCTTCGAGACCAAGCTTGTAGATGAGGGTCTTAGATTATCACTAACCCAACCTGGAATCTTTTGCGATAAATCATTCATAGGCGAAGGTAGGGTGTTGCCGTTAAGGCGCCTTGGCAGAGAGATCTGCTATTTCATTATCTTTTTTTGAGATTATCTCTTGAAGACGAGAATTTTCTTCCATTAACTTTAATCATGCCGAAGACAAGGAGTCTATTGTCTGACTGGTTATCTCATGTGACGCTTTTATCCCTTTCTCCATACATTCTATTTCGTGTTTCTTTGACTTTAAATCCTCCTTTACCTGTTCAAATTCAAGCCTGAGAGAATCAATCTCTTTGGGTTCAGATGAGTTTATTTGGGCCGGCTCCTCTATCACCCTTCTATTACATTCAAATCACGGAATATCAGATCCAGTTTCAAGTCCTCTAACTTACCTTCCAATTCAACTACCTTAGTTTCAAGAGAAAGAATCTTGACCTTATCAGCGGACGAAGCTTTTTGGGCTAAAGTTGTCTTTCTTTTCAGAGTTTTAATATTTGATTTAAGCGATTTGATTTTGGCAGTATATTTAGCTTCAAGCTCACATTGACTCTCAGAATAAGACTTCTGTTCAGAAATGAGTTGGGATCTAACTTTAGTACTAGACGCATTTAACTAGCTAATCTTATTTTCTATATCAGCATAAATTCATTGAAACTCCTTCTCTCGCTCTGAATACTCTGAAATTTTAGCCAACAACTTTTCACAAAGATCATTAATTTCGGCTTTAGAACTAAGAGTGGTATACAATTTTTTTTGAGCTCTTGTTCATACGCACTACAAGCTGATGACCTTTATTATTAATATCTTTCAAGGTATACACATTGGTCATAACTTTTTTTTCAGCTTAGTTGCTAGCATAATAAAAAACATGCGATTGAAAATTTTTTACTTGGCAAATTTTTAGACTAAATATATTAAATACACCGAATGAACTAAATATATTGAATGAACCGAATGAACTGAATCTACCGAAAATATATCAATATTACCGAATATATACTGAAAATATATCGAAAATATACCGGTATTTTTTCAAAAGATTTTTTTGTCTATTTGTAAAAAATGCTTCAGTATTTGCGTTCAGATGTGATCCCTATCTGCTGAAGATATCCAGGATATTATTAAAGCTAAAAATTCAACGAAGCGGGCATCAGAAGTCATGGCTAACAAATACAAATATTAACACAGCGGGTGTATCAAATTTGAAGAGGAGCTCACCCACCAATAGACCCTAAAGATATAAAATCACTGTTAGAAGAACCTGGTTCATATCAGCAAGCGGATCCTGTGGAATGCAATGTTATTTCTAAGAGTAAGGTAAAAAAGACTGGAGGAAAGAAACCCAAGTTCAAATCCGTTAGAATCTCTGAACCATCTATTACCCAGAATCAGCTAACGTCTACAAGCCCAGAGGGTTCTGAAGGTTTAAATATTAGCAGAGAGGATCTGAATGCATTTTATGAAAAAGAAGCTAAGAGAGACGAAAAAAATAAAGCAGAGGTGAATAGACGTCTAGCCGTGTAGAAGATATTTTCCATTTAATTTATCATAGCGTACTAATAATTTCTCACACAATTCGTTAAGATCCTCTTTAGACTTAAGAGCGTTAAATAACATTTTTTCAAGCTCCTCATAACTCACTTTTTTTTTAATGCATCATTATCCGCATCCAAGTCCTGAGAAATCTTGTCTGGAACTGTGGAATCATCATTAGCTATGCTAACCGTGTAATTCACATCGAGCTCATTCTTGATCTTATGCATGGTAACTGGGATGATATAATCCTTTCCATTAAGAGGGATCTTTAGCTCATTGGTATCCCAATCCACTACGCATCTATATTTCTTTAAAAGTTGGTTAGAAAATATTAGCATCAGCTTTTTATATCTCACGACAATAAAATCTTCATGAATGATAAGTCCAAGGTTAAAGTAATTGGTAGATTACATACGACCCCAACAGATTCAACAGGAACAGTAGAGATGCCTTCAAGATCATGTGTCTCAAATTTATCGATTTTAGCTCCCACACGTTCAACAATATTCTCCGTTATGATAGGAGGTTCAGCTCCAGAGTCAAGAGTCATAGCCAGAATCTTTAAACGCCTAATTTTACACTTCACGGTCACAACACTTGTCCTCGGCTCCTTCTTTTTGACGAAATCTATTTCCATGAAATCATTCAAATATTCTTCCTCCTCTATACTAGACTCACCCAGAATTGGGTCTTTGGAACTTGAAGAGCCATTGTTTTGTGTCTCCACTTTAGCCAGAATAGAAGACGCTTGTTTTACTAAATCAGCTTTATTTGAATCAGACCCCTGTGGGGTAGTCTTGCAAGCTGGCTCGACCCCTGGTAAGAGGAAGGGAAAAAGTAATTTGAGTTCACTTTGCATAATTTTACGAACAGTTTCTTCTAAGATAATCTGCTTATTTTTTCTAGGTTTAACAGACTTGAAATTTTAGTAGAGCGGGATGATGATTTCTTGGAACGAGACTTCGTGCCAGAAGACTTCTTGCTTGAAGACTTCTTACCCTTGGAGTTTGGACTTACTTTTTTTTTGACTTGACAACATTAACGGTGATATCACCTCCAGAATTGGAAGAACTTGTGTCAGAATCTGAACTATCACTAGATAATAATTCATTAGAAGTGTTAGAATCTGAATCTGAATCAGAACTCGAATCTATAGTAGTGAGATTAACTTTAGCTTTCTTAGACCTCTTTTTCTTCTTCCGAGTGCATTTGCGAGAATTATGTCTAGTTTGATTACAGTTAGAACACCGCTGTTGCGTCTTCACAGCTTTTTTAACAGCTTTAGCCACGTGTAAACTTAACTGCCTTTTCGTAAGCCCAGCAAGCTCTTCATCAGAATCAACTTCAACCTTTTTCTTTGGTTTCGGTGGCAACTCAGGATTGGGAACAGGGGTGAACTCTGGAGTTTCTTCTGTTATTCATGATATAAATCTACCTATATTCTCATCTCGTAAATTTTTATACGTTCCTGCAGGATGTAGTTGAAATTGTGATGAAGCCACTTGTTGAGGCCATTGGGATTTTGAAGATGCTATTGTATTTTTTATCAAGCTCTCGATTTCCGTTTTAGTCATCCCTGATTTATTAGTTTTTACATATAGATTGGCCGCCAGAAAAATTGGAAAAAAAGATGATGCACTCTGTTGAGATAATGTAAATTTTTCCGCTTCAGCCAATGCTTCTGTAATATTATCCTGAGTATCATAAAATTTGGCTATCATTCGAAGATTGTATTGATTCATCAAAGACAGACCACGAATAAATTGCTCTCTTTGCTGTTTAGGAGTCATTTTAGCTAATTTACCAATCTTTTAGCAAAGAATTTTTGGAAAATCAGCAATCGCATCAAATCTATACCCTCCCACCAAAACATATCTCTAGAGTCAGTTATGAGAAAATCACACGACCAAATTGTGTCCACCAGTGCAATATAATGTTCCTTACTCACGATTACTACAAAGGTAAGATCTATAAAGCAGTATTTAATATAATAGACTGCACTTTCTGATATAAGGCTTCAGTTTCACTCACATCGAAGAAAAGTTCAGAAGTCGCTAAAGCATTTAAGAGAAAATATGGAGATCGAAATAACCCATTAACTTGGCCAAAGCTTCTTCAATGCGATAATGGGCGAGAATGGATGGGTGAGACCTCTAGGCTAATGCAAGAGCACAATATCACTATTCGAGCGATTGGTCCATATTCCCATTGAGGTAATGGAATGGTGGAACGTTTCAATAAGACGGAAGTGGAAATGCTCTATAAAATTCAGTATGCTGTCAAGTCTATATCTTCTGATCTAAGATTAATAAGAGCATGGGTTAGGCATTTGCCAAAAGTTGTCGATTACCTAAACAATTACCCCACATGTCTTATTAGAGCTCCAGGTACTTCAAAATGGGGATTAGTGCCTTCAGAAGCCATTTTATTGGAAGAGGTTGAATCTAAGCCATCAATATCATCAAAGCGACCTATTGGCAAAGATGAAATAACATTGAAGAAAGGTGATTCAGTTCGCTATCTTCTTACAAATGCTGAATGGGAGGGAGGAATGGAGAATCAGAAAAGGGCTACAGATCCTACATACTCGCCTTCTATTCATAAAATCCGAAAAATTGTGGTCTCTAAAAAGGAGCCTGTCCTATATTATCTCGGGGTGATGATGATGAATTTGCTCTAAAGCGAGGATTTGTGCGAGAAGAACTCATGTATTTGACTCATGATCCTGAGCTCCCCCCTCAAAGAATATTATCTGTAAATTTCGTTTATGTCTCCCCTATCAATAGCGAGTTTGATTATGCTAAAGATTATGCCAGAAGACGTGGTGGTCAATGTCTAGGAAGAACTGGGCGAATAAATGGTCATGATATATATCTTTGGTCTTGTGAGAATGATGTACATCAATGGGAGTATCCGTTAAAATATATCATGAAAAAATTCGAGTGGTGCCCTCTATGCCATCATACTACCGATAGAACTGTACGATATATTTTTGAGGATCTACTAGGTAAGAAATTTCCACCATGTAAGCCTAAATTTTTGGATGGGATGCATCTCGATGGGTATAATGAGGAATTGCGTCTTGCTTTCGAATTTCAGGGTTCTCAACACTATTGCCACAATAGCTTCTACCACCGGGAGAATGAAACTTTGGAAATACAAAAGATACGTGATCAGAAGAAGCAGGATATATGCAAGAACCAAGGTATATGCCTTATCGAAGTGCCTCATACTGCGGATCTTTTTCCATACATTAAGCATACACTAATCGAGAAAGGATTCTTGAGTAATTCTTCAAGTTAGGTCGGAGAGAATTATCTTTTTGGTAATTTGCAAGATTATTTTTAGAATAACATTAGTAATAGTTCGACATGAAAATAAAGAAACTTGAGTCAGTTGAAAGGTTTGTATACCATATCAATGAGATTAAAGATGCCAAAAAATATAATGGACACTCAAGTGTCCCCCAATGGCCTTTCACCCTTGGAATCTTTGGCCGTACTAATACGGGAAAAACTAATGAGTTTATTAATCTCACGCTCGGAACTAAGCCTTATCGAATGTCTAAAGGAAAGAAAGGAGGGACACGTTATATCAAGTGTGATGATTTGCTACTCATCGGTCACAATCTTAATGAGAAAAAATATATGATCCTTAAATCAGTGTATCAGACAATTGCTAATAATCCAAAGCCATATCGTGAAAATATTTCATTCTGAGCTTTGAAACCTGATAAAATTCCCAAGATAGATTCATTTTCTCCGAACAGGGCTACGTTAGCTATATTCAAAGATCTATGCGCTGATCCAAAGGAAGTGCAGAAGAAAATTATTCCTTATTTCATTGAAGGGCGCCATTACAATGTCAGTTCGATATATGTATCCCAGAGTTACTTTGATTGCCCGAAGATAATACGAAAAAATCTCTCACATATCTGCCTATTTAACGGCTCCTGCACTACAGACGAGCTTAGCAGAATCGTGCGTCAATATGCTAATGACTGGCGCAGTGTAATTAAGATTATTGATAAGGCATTATGTGAGAAAAAATTCATTGTTTTTGATTTAACTGTACCCCGCGAACATCCACACAGGATACGCCTCGGCTGGGACCAAATTCTCACTAATGAATAGAACTAGACTTCATAGATGCCAGCTCTTTTTCCGCCTCCTGTACTTGCATCTTCAGGTCTTCAATCACATAACGCATTTTCTTATTTGCAGTAACCTGCTCTCTATATTCCTTTTCTATGTCATGCATAAATTTCCCAAAAGTTCGCCTATTATAATCAAGCAGGTGTTGGGATAGTACTTTAAGCTCATTCATAACCCGGCGATTATTCTCCTCTTCATGATCATGCTTTAGTGCCTGGTTTGGAGAATCTCTCTGGTCCGGCCAGATGCTATCGTCAGTTTGGGTTCCGTTATCTGCAACGTATATAGTTGATGTTTTTTTGAATGGTAATAATGTTGGGCACTCCGGCCAACTTTGAGTTCGTCTCTGGCGCATTAATCTTTTCTGATATCTAATAGCTTCATGTTTTAAAAACGATTCTACAATTGGATTAATTTCGCTGGCCTCTTTCTCAGATAATGGATTACGCTTCCGTGATATAAGACGTATCCATGCCTCATTTATTAGAGAAGCTGGTAATTTTACTAGCAAGTCAGAATATGCCTGGTTAAATGCCATTATATATTTATACATTGCGCAAAAAAATGGAATTCCATATGAAATTCCAAAAAGATAGGCCATTATATCAGGATCATAGTGTTATGTCGCGAGAGATCTGCTAGAAAGCTCCGATCAAATATGCATATGACACCCGATCATTGGTCAATAAGAAAAAATCACGTGCTTTCTGAGACCCACTTCCCGTCATTGAAAATTCTAGTCACATGATTTTCCTCAGGTGCCGATATTTTCAAGAATAAAAATTCACGTGTTTTCACTTCTCGCTTAGGTGAAGAAAAGCTACAAGAAACCCGATATAATAAAGTAAAGATCATGTGAATTCCCCTCACAGCCCGTAAGCAAAAATTGCTAAGAAAAAAAAAATAATACTGAACAATGGGATCATATCGTTGTAATATATTTTTATTAATAATATAATCTATCTATTTTAACTTAATCAGATGTTACTGTTGAACTATCTTCTAAGTTTCTACTTGATCTACGTAAAGGAGTATTGCGCAGTAAAGACATGTTAACCATTAAAATATTCCGCAAAACCAACAAAGTTTTAATGAATTCGGCCAGAACAGAAGGTTCATGCGAATAACGAATTGGAATTATAGATTCGCGTAATTTGTAATAACGATGTACTTCAACCTTGTCTCTGATCAGAATATTCAGACATAGTTTTTGTCCCGCTACTTGCACCCCTATAATTCCAAATTGACCCTTCTCGGGTTTGCGACTTTTTTGGACCCAGTACATTCCATCATTGGTTTCGCGCCATAATTTCACATTATCATCGTCTTCCTTCTGCTTATTACAAAAAATTCGTGAGCATTCTACGTACATAAGTTCGTAAAGTTTATCACTCTCTTTTGATACAAGCATTATATCTGGCCGTCTTCCTGTACGTCCGTCACCCCTTCTATCTGAACTTGCTATACTTTGGCGTTCAAAACTAAAAAAAGGATTATATTCATCAATTTAAGATTCGCAACTAGCTATAGCCAGATATTACAAAAAACTTACGTAGTAATGAATACATGTTCTCCAAAAGGATTATCAAATAATGTAGCATGGATTGCGGAGACAACTACATTATTAACATAGGTACCCTCATTCATCGTTTCAACAAATTCAGGACCAAAAGCTGGATTGCACCAAACACTTTTCAACGTATCAAGAATTTTTAACGCAACTTCGTTAAGCTTATTGCCACCTTCCTTCCAGTTCCCATCATGCGTTAATCTTTCTTGCAACCTTGGTATACTTCGTGACATAAAATTTGTTACGAATTTTACACATTCTTCTGTTATACCTCGAGGTATTGTTGAGGGTACCATTTCTTCAACCGGTTTCTAGAATGAATATAATTAATTTTTAGATGGAAGAAATAATATATATTATTTTTTACTGTCGAGAAAAAGAGAGTATTAGCGAAGATACATACCATAAATTTTTTTTTTGTTTTTTTGATAATTGAGCTACTAGTAATGAATCATCACTGATGACCTGACTAGCTAAAGGAATCTTCCAGGTTAGTTCGGAGATTATTAATCCATTTAAAATAACTACTAACTTCTGGAAAAGTTTTGATATTACAGTCTAAATAATACGAATACCTCATATTAGTCTAACTTGTCAGCATGATAAAAAAAGATAGTGATCTGCTCTGAAGTAAGAGCTTCTCTTTATTCTACAAGTCAAAAGATTGTTATTAAATATATTCATATCATCTACCCTTTCTTAAAACATACTATTTTTATAACTCCAACGTCCTGCAAATTACTAATACAATCAAAAGCAATATCGAACTAACGTAAATATACAAATAAGTTAGATAACCGCTGATGCATCAAATGAAAATATAAATAACTGCGCGGTCGTCAAAAGATAACACAAAGAAATTACCCAGTACGACCTGGCTACACAAATAAATCTTTGTGTAGCATAATATTAATCACATTAAAATAAGCATGGACTTCAACATAAATAACCCTCCACACCGTCAAGGAAAATCCTGTTAGTAGGCTAATAGGATTTTTATACTGACATATTATCTTCTCAGAAGTGCCACTATCTACGTACTCATCATTTGATATAATATGATTATAATATTTCACCTATAAAATAGCGTACCTGTGGTATAATTTGAATAAGTTTTCCAGAACGTTCAAAATCTATACCATGCGAGTTTTTTATCAAATTAACCGCTTTTTCTACAACGCCTCTTAGTTCGTCTTTACTAATCCAAGGATTTTCTTCTAACCCTTGGTAAATAACGGAGCCTGCCATTAAATGTTCAGTCTTTACGCTGGTCAAATATTCTACAGTTTTTACGTATAAATATTCTGAAGACATAATGATGAAAGTAGTCAAAATATAATATTAGAAGCTTGCTAAGCAAAGTAAAAAAAAATAATGTAAAGGCGTAATAACTTCACTATACTATCCTTTTAAATGACTCCATTTACATTCTCTTTGGGCTTGTATTCATGTTGGAGGAAGAGACAGGAGAATATATAACGGACTCTTACGCTAAAAGTTTATGTTCAAGAATAAGGACATGCAGAATGTGCATTGAAAATCTCAATAGTATATACTTTAATGAGGATCAAAAACATGTTAATTTATGTTGTATACGCTTACATGCATTGGCTTTAAAGCGTTGAGGATATGTATATACATACTTTTTTTTCTTTATTTCAATTGCCCGACCGCTCAGTAATAAAGGCCTACTAACATTATATAAATATACTTCAATCGAAATCTAGTAGGAATAACCTGTAGCAACGCAACACTCTGGAAGAAATAAATTCATAAATAAATGCTATTCTGATAGATAGGGAAAAAATTCAAAATATTTTTTGGGAATCGACTTATGTGTGAAATTATTTTGTTATACAAGTATAGTTTCACAGATAATTTGCAGATGATTTGCGATGTATCTACCTATTACAACATATATATTTTAATGAGAATCAAAAACGTGCTAATTTATGTCACACATGCCTTCATGTACTGTAGTTGGACAATAATATAATATATTATTTTATTAAGATGAAATACCATTCTACAGAAAAAAATTTAATAGATATCACAGGTGATACATTTTACTACTAGAGGTGTAATAATTTATTCTCTGACACGCTCACAGATTCTTCTTACATCTAATGAATTAGTCTTATATTTCTAACATTCTATAACTCTAATAAGATATTCAATGTTATCTTTATCAATACGATAATATTCAGGATTCTGTAACCACTTTAGCTGGTTAGACTAATCCAAACCTCTAATGACTTTATAGCCTCGCTGGTATAATATTTTAAAAACAATATCATATGTTACATTAGCTAATCTCAAATATAATTGATATTTCTTATCAAATATTCAGTCAATATGAGGAGTTATACCTAAATACTTCTTATCATCAGGAGTACCATCATTCCTTACCGTCTCCCAAATTATTTTTGCCAACGATTTGGGTCTCATCCTGTAACTCTGCCAAGCCTATTGGATAAGTTTAACACTGTTAAATAAGCAATATGCAACAGTTTTCCTACCTTCATGTGAATAATTATAACCATAATAATTCAAGCCTCTACTGTATATAACTGAATATGTTAGATAAATCTCTTCAATCTCATCAGGACTAAGCGATGCCACTTTTTTCGTATTCCTTTATACATGATTATAATGAATTTTAGCAGTAATACATTTATTCAGGTGATCATTAGTACATTCGATGGTATTTTCACGAATAATTACCAAGGAGTCACATACAGTATAATAAATATTAAATGAGCGTCTCCCAGCTTTAAATTTCCCATCTATATATTCCCTTTCAACCATTTGGATAAATCCATTTTTTGAAAAGTATTTTGGGTTATATTCAAGAAGTTTCTTAAATGGAGAACGAACACGAGAACACCATATTTCTGGTGTTTCACCATTATACCTATATTGCAGGTTGTTCAACGCCTGCACTACTACAGGACTCAAACCATTAAATTTAGCCATTTTACGGATATAGGATAGCAGTTTAGTGATTTATAGCGTTTTTAGCAATTTTATCGATTTATAGTGATTATAACAGTTTGTAACAACTATATTATAATAAAATATCGGATTCATTTTTATTCGATTACAAGCATATCAGGATTTATATAGGGTCATATCTCGGGCTAAGCTAATTTTATATTTACATGCGGTTTGTGGATCTCTCGTGATTAACAGGGATTAGCCGAAGGAGTTTTATGATGTATAACATAAAAATTTGTATCACCCTGGCTCCCAGTCAGTTCCCGGCACTTCCTCGCAACCTTCCCGCAACTCAAATCACGGGATGATCGGCCAATGAATAGTTTTAGTAGTGATACCCCTGCAATAAAGCAATCATAATTGTTAGAAAAAACACTAGGCCCGATGTGGGCAAAACTTTATTGATATGGACAGATATATGATTTGAAATGCACGTGCAAGAAATGATGGATAGAATAATTTTGGCAGGGGCTCCCCGGCTGAAATTTCAGTCATGAGATTTTCAGATAAAAAAAAAGTTTCTCCCGCAGTGCCAAGAGAGGATTGACGAAACTTTATAAGCAAAAAACTTTACTAAGATTGTGTTAGGCTGTCACAACGACACATGACTTGTGGCGCAATAAAATATTCAATATCCTGGATTAGAGTTATACAAAAATTGATTGCAAACATTCTGATGAATTTCGAGCCATCCTTGTTGGGAAGAAGAAGCTTTCATCAGTTTCTTACCCCACTTCGAGCCAAAAATTTGGAGCACTAATTCTGATCTACACCACATACCACACACAGCATATACATTTGATACAAAATACAATCCGCACATACTGTATAAAAAATAGTTCAACGCGGACAAACTTTATTGCATTAATTTTAGTCTAACAGCTAATACATAAAATACATAATTAACATTATTGTAAAATAGGTGAGAATTTACAGGCATAGTAAAGGTTAATGTAAATGATAAAGTAATGATAGTATCAATAAAAAAAATTTTGATTACGTTTTCGTGGTGTGAAATATGTTGATCTGATGAATTTGATCTTTTTATGTTTTGGTTCCGGTTGCTTCTCATCAATACTATGGAAAATTTTTTTATATGGGTTTATTTGTGTATCGAATTGTAACAGAATAGTAGCCTTCTGAATTATACGTTCCTATAATTGGCAATAGTAAATAAAAGATTTCTTATTAAAGAAAACTAACAATTGAAAAATATATTTTTTCAAACCTTGTAGTATAATACCTCTAATGTTTGGCGCAGAGGTTTGATATTAGGTAATTGCGAAGGAAACTTGAAGTCAGGTCCTTCCAAGCCAAAGTATAGACCATTATCAAACAAATCCACAGCAAGGAGTTGACCATATAATCCTAATGCAGTGATGAAATGTTAGGTATAACAATTTTCAATTTAGTGATGCAAACACATCTTACCAGCGAATTGGAAAGCAAACACTGCTGAATCTTCAACAGCTTGATCAGAAATGTTCCGTTTTAAAATATTGTCAAGGATGCACTTGTTAGTACGTAGAATTTTACTACGATCCCGAACGATTTTGGCCGGTGTAGGTGATCGTGCACATTCCGTATGACTGAGCTCTATGCATTGCCCTCGAGTCTCAATTTTCAGATCTATTTTTCTACATGCGGTGCTAGCCTTCGATACAGTTTCCCCCCTACAATATGTTGATAAAAAAGTATTATAAAGTGCAAATAGTAAAATTTGCATATTAAGCGTGCTCAATAAAATAGGTGGTTACCATCGAAGTCTAACAAGATGATTGATATCTGAAAATATAATGTTCATAACCGGGGCCACTGTTTTGAGAACAAATTCCATCTCCGTTAGCTTTGTTTCTTTGTTATTTTCATCCACAAAGACGTATGGATCGTTAAGTAGCGTATCCAAGCTAGCAATAAAAAAGGTGCATTAGTTTTAATATTTATAGGAACAGTTACTGAACTACAATTAAAAAAAAAATGATTTACATTGTAAAGTATATTTTCACGATTTGAAGATAGATTTTTGTGGCGGAACGATCCTTCATTTGGTTTAATAAGTAATCTCGCGCTTCCCAATACTGATATTCTAAACATAGCTGTGCAGAATAATGTTAATATACTGTACAACAATTAAAATTATCAACCAACAAGCTGTTTCACATACATTCTCAATCTTCATAATGCTGTCTAGAACACAGCCTTCGAACTTCATTGGTATCATGTTTATCTGATTTTGCGCTTTCTGTTTTAATCCGGCCCATTCACTTCCGAACCAGGTACTCATGCCATCTTGAAATTCGGAAGACAAGTCAACGACAGAAGAAAATCCGAGCCTATATTTTAAGAAATAAATCAGTGGTTTTGCTCTATTGTGAATGCAATAATCAATCAAAAACATGATATCACACCTAATGACACTGGCTTGATAAGCATTCAATCTTTTCGAATTTTTACAACTCTCAAAAATATTTAATGCTTTTTCTGAAAGGACGTTTTTGACGAGTTTCCCACTCGATAATTTCCATTCTGATTCAATGAGTTGATCTGCCTCATCAAAGGATTCAAGGGTATTTTCGCTCATCTCAATTTCAGAATCTTCATCATCGGAATATTCTTCGTTATCAGAAGTTTCCTTCTGTTCTTCGTCATATTCATAATCGCTTACAACGGTCTCCACCAAATTTGGTTGAAGATCTTCACGCATCCGTTTACGATGAGGCAACGTAGGGGAGTTGTCGCTAGGTGACTAAAGCGTAGAAGATATTATAACGAGATAATTAACATACTATCTGTGATCTTAAACAATTGGATATGAATTACCTCTCTTGTAGGCGTCACATATTTGTTGATTTTTGGGAATCGCTCTTCATCCACACTTGCACATTTCCGATTCTGCTTCTACAAGGGAGACATTAGAGTAAGCCAACCAATTTCTCTAATTAACATATTAGGTCAGAATTACCCATACCATCTTTTCTTCTACACTCGTAAGTGCTGTATCAACAATACCAGCGGATCTATATATGAACTTGCAAGCCACTTCCGCCTATGATTGAAAACGACTTTAGTAAAGGATAGTTATTAATGCAATATTTGATAAGCAACAAACCTCAGCACTATCGATTGAATTTTCACTCTCAATCTGTTTCCAAAATATGTTAACGTCCTCATATTTTGTTCGATGCCCCTTAAACAGAAATAATATTTAATGTTCTATATTGGGTTTTCAACACATACTAAGCAAGGAAATGGCGAATCACAACGGGTTCACCGTAAAGCAGGTTGATCCCCCTGCCGTAGTTGTGTGAGTATGTACCCCTCCTCAGGACTCAAGTGAAAGGCCCTGCCTCTACAAAAAAGGCTAACAAAACCAAGTTTGAAGTGCATGACGGGTTCGCCGTAAAGCAGGTTGATCCTCCTGCTGTAGTCATGGAAGTATGTGCCCCTCCTCAGGACTTCAACAGAGCCTCCACATCCGCATGTTAACTACAACTACAGTAGCTAATAAGAAAATAATACCTCGAAACTAGACAACAAACGAGCGGTACCAATTCTGACATCTTCCGATTTATCATATGCAAGTAAAGTTAAGCAACGTTGGAGCTTATCAGCTTCTCGTCGGAAAGAATACGTAAAATCGTCTTGCTTCTGGCAGTGCCGATAATAGTCTAGGTATCGATATTCATTCGGCGAGGTTTGTTTAAAATAGTCCATTGGCAACCTGGAAACACGTAAAAAAAATTTGAAATGGCAACGACGCGTATTATGAGCTGTTCGGTTACACACAACACGATCACATGAATATGGAGCCACATGATTTCACCGACGATGAAAATAGGCGATGATACAGTATTTCACATTAATCAATAAGGCCGCTCCAACAAATAGTTTCGTTTAACATCACATGGCGTAAAAAAAATTGAGGGGGGCGGGAGGGTTAAATT